TGGCGGTGAAGTCAAACTGTTGGAGAATCACAGTGCTCCTGTGGCTGCAGAGACCAGTAACTTGTAACGGCTTCCTCTTGCATTGTTTTTGCTGCATTAGCAGCAGCAAAGTGACGTCACTGGGGCGCAAGCCTGGGCAATGCGCATGGAGGACCTGGGCTGCCCAGATGACAAGAGCCCCTTTTGGCCTCACTGATGTGGTCTAAAGGAAAGCAGAGCATTGCATCTGGCACCAGCTTGGGTACAGGAGTAGCTGGAAGGAGGGGTACAAGCATAGGAGCCAATTCCTAGGGTTTGAGGTCCCTTTGCCCCCCCATAAACTATTTGACGGGGCCAGCTCCACCCCCCAAGTTGATAGGCATTGCTATTCTAATGTTGTGAGTGCACTTCATCATGTGATTGATTATGAGGGACGGGGATTACCTCCCCCCAATGTTATTAAAGTTGACATCCCAGCACACAAGGCGCCATCCAACTGTCTTAGGGACTCCACTCCAAATTTGCATAGGGTTTACTCTCTAGTCTTTCTTCTCCCAAAGATGTCCCACAAGGCAGAAAAAGCACTGCTTTTAGCTATCTGACTGCTAAACTGTATAGGGCTTTTTTCACATTTGCAAGATAGATATAGATGATGTAGATGTAGATGTAGATGTAGATGTAGATGTAGATGTAGATGTAGATGTAGATGTAGGAAGTGGGTGACTGAGTCCCTTGGGCTTGCCGATCAGAAGGTTGGCGGTTCGAATCCACACAATGGGGTGAGCTCCCGTTGCTCTGTCCCAGCTCCTGCCTACCTAGCTATTCGAAAGCATGCCAGTGCAAGTAGATAAATAGGTACCACTGCGGTGGGAAGGTAAACAGCATTTCCATGCACTCTGGTTTCCATCACGGTGTTCTGTTGCGCCAGAAGCAGTTTAGTCATGCTGGCCACATGACCCTGAAAGCTGTCCGTGGACAAATGCCGGCTCCCTCAGCCTGAAAGCGAGATGAGCGCTGCAAACCCATAGTCACCTTTGACTGGACTTAACCGTCCAGGGGTCCTTTACCTTTTACCTATACAGTGGTATCTCGGGTTAAGAACTTAATTCGTTCTGGAGGTCCGTTCTTAACCTGAAACTGTTCTTAACCTGAAGCACCACTTTAGCTAATGGGGCCTCCCGCTGCCGCCGCACCACCGCTGCGTGATTTCTGTTCTCATCCTGAAGCAAAGTTCTTAACCCGAGGTACTATTTCTGGGTTAGTGGACTCTGTATCCTGAAGTGTCTGTAACCTGAAATGTCTGTAACCCGAGATACACTGTGTATATATATGTGTGTGTGTGTGTGTGTCTATTTAGCTGGTGAGGATTAAGGATGGCTACCAAGGTCTGAAAGTAGACTTGTCTTTTGGTCTATAACAAGAAACAAAAAAGAAAGCATAAGAAGAATGCTGCTGAATTTGACCAATGACTCATCTGGTCCAGCATCCTGTTCTTACAGTAGCCAACCAGATAACTATGGTAATCCTGAAAGCAGGACCTGAGCACAAGGACACTTGCCCCGCCAGTGATTCCCAACAACTAGCATGCAGAGGGACACTGCCTCTGACAATGGAAGGAGAACACAGCGATCATGCCCAGTTCTTCGAAACGTTCTCAAAAACGTTCTCAGACTGAACAAATGACGGGTCGATTTTGACTGAATAAAGCCAACACAGAAGGAGGATTTGAATGTAATCCTTGGCATCCCAGGGTATGAGGAAATTCTTTTTGTTATTAAGATGTTAAATAAAGGTAAGAGTTTGCGACTAGCTAAGAGCAGATTAAATGGATCTGCAAACAAGGTTGTTTTCCCACCCCAGAGCAGTTTCTGCAGTGTGTATTCCCTAAACAATATGGTATGCATTGAAAATGTACTTTCCAAAATAATAGGAAAAGGCTAATGTAAGTGAGCAAGGGAGACCGCAGTTCTTGCTTAGGAAATGAAACAGGCAATGAAAGCAACGTGTTAGAAATCTAACTGCTCCTTTAATTATATTCCCCTTAGTGTGTAATATTGGAAAGGGGAGTGGACGTGATGAGTATTCTTGGCAAGACTTTGTGCAAGTTAGGAATTTATCCGAAGTGGTTAAAGGTTTTAAAAGGTCTTAAGGAAATTTCTAGACAAAAATATTTGCAAATATTGGCATGTTTCAAACCCCACTATATAAAAAGGCCCACTCACACAGGAAAACAAAGTTCACCACAGCCAATCACAAACAAACAACCACACCCTAGGCCAACCCCAACCTCTCTCACCACCAAAGGAACACAAGCAAATAGTAAAGAGAACCCACACAAATGACACTGACACAAAACCCCACACATACACTAAGTAGAATAGAAGAATTGCCACCTGACCCCACCCCCACTCATTCCACCTCTTTCCCCCTTTACGCCTAATGTAACACTAACGTCTCAACAATGAAACTGATCTGTAGAAAATGTAACTTGAAAAAAGAGACATTGCACATACTTTTGTAAACCAAGAAATCTTTAATAAAAATATTTATATATATAAAAAGCCCTCCAATTATAGAAGTTCAGGACCATCATTAGTATATGTGCTCCATGTCCATGCACAAGTCATGTGACCCGTGCAAGAGCATGGTGCCCAAAATATGTGAATGTTTTGAGCACCATGCTCTCGCACATTTTTGGGTCCCCCAAAATGGGATATCCTGAATTAATTAGGACAGTTGAGGGTTATGCTGTAATGCTTAGTTATACACATTTGCATGCTAAGTGGCTGAAATACTAAGTGGTGTGCATTAAATTGCTTGCATTGGTCAATGTTCTTGCCTGGAGTGCTATGGAGACAAATGGCCTAACAGAGGAACTTATGGTCTTGAAGGTCCCAGGCCACAGAGAGGTTAGTCTGGCCTCAACCAGAGCCAGGGCTTTTTCAGCTGTGGCTCCGATCTGTCACAAGAGACTAGGGCCCTGCGTGACTTGACATCTTTCCGCAGGACCTGCAAGACAGAGCTGTTCCACCAGGCCTTTGGCCAGGGCACAGCCTGACTCCCTCTTTTGGCAATCCTCACAGAACTCTAGCCCAATGGTTGCCATTAATCTGATTGGAATTAATTTTATAATGAAATGATTTTAGAATGTTTTATCATTTTACTGTTGTTAGCCGCTCTGAGCCCGGCTTCGGCTGGGGAGGGCGGGATATAAATAAAATTTATTATTATTATTATTATTATTATTATTATTATTATTATTAATAATAAATTTTATTTATTATTATTTATATAATATAATTTTATTTATATCCCGCCCTCCCCAGCCGAAGCCGGGCTCAGGGCGGCTAACAACAATCAAATAATCAAACAATCAAATAATCCAACATTCCAAAAACATTTCATTATAAAAATTAATTAAAATCAAATTAATGGCAACCGTTGAGCAAAATTCTGTGCAGGTTGCCAGAGGAGGGAGGTTGGGGAGAATAGCAAGGATCTAAGGGTGGCGTACATACTTCCCCTCTTCCTCATTTTATCCTCACAACAGCCCTTTGAGGTAGGTTTAGGCTGAGAGTGAGTGAGTGGCCCAAGGTCCCCCTTGTGAGCTTCATGGCAGACTGGGAATTCAAACCCTGGTCTCCCAGGTCCTAGTCCAGCACTCTAACCACTTCACCACACTGGCTCTCAAAGTATGAGGTGATTGAAGTTACTGAAATTCTCGGCTGGTTTGCCATTGCTAATCACTTGGCTCAATGAACTGCATGAACTAAACACAAGACATTCTGCATGCAGAGCATGTGCTCTGCCACTGGGCACTTTGCCTATTGGGGCTAATCCGTACTAAAGGCAAACCCAACCAAAAAAAAAGCAATTGAGATTATTTCTTCGTGCATTTTAATGGGCTCTGGATGAGATCACCCAGTGCCTGACAATAATAAATTGTGTTCTCTTATCACTTTTTAAGGCTATTCTTTCTGGCTTCCCTGATAAAAGATGTGGTCACTCCAACTGGGCTGCCTTATTAACTATGTTTCCTTGTGTCTGTTATCACTGAGACTGTGGTCAGTAAGATGGCACCTTTGGAGTCATAGGAGGAGGAGATTGCCTATATTGGGAACAGCCCAAATGTCACAAAGTACTGAGGAAGTTTTTGGGTTCTCCAGAACTTTTCCTCAAGCTAGATATAATGCAAAACAACAAGTATGGGGGGAGGGGGAGGGGGAGGGAGAGGGTTAGGACATGATGGGAAAGTCCCAATATTTGCCACTTGTAACAATCTTAAACTGGAGTGCACAAGGTGTTGTCCCAGGAGAACCAACAGACTCCATTCTTCTCCCAAAGGAACAAGAGTCATCAATTACTCTTCAAGTAAGAACACCAGCAAGGAAAGATCAACCTGGCCAATGTTGGGACCGTCAGACTAGGATCTGCAAGACCAGGGTCTTAATCGCCACTTGGCCATGATGCTCACTGGGTGATCTTGGGGCAGTCACTGCCTCTCCACCTAACCTACCTCACGTGAGAAGGGGGAAAACCACACATGCCACCTTGAACTCCTTCGGGGGAAAGATGGGATATAATTGCAATACAGTTGCACCTTGGTTTCCGAACAGCCTAGCTCTCAAACGTTTTGGCTCCCGAACGATCGAACCCCGGAAGTGAGTGTTCTGGTTTTCGAACGTTCTTTTGGAAGCCGAACGTCCGACGGGGCTTCTTTGGCTTCTGATTGGCTGCAGGAGCTTCCTGCAGCCAATCAGAAGCCACGCTTTGGTTTGCGAACGTTTTGGAAGTCGAATGGACTTCCGGAACGGATTCTGTTTGACTTCCAAGGTATGACTGTACATCAATAAAATATAAATGTCCCTTTATAGCTCACTGCTTTGTTTTGGAGAACTGGTGTCCCTCTACTTTTTCATTCTGCATCTCTTTCCTTAGGAACAAAGGAAGCTGCCTTATAGTGAGTCAGATGATCGGTCCATCTAAATCAATGTTGTCCACACTGACTGACACACTCTACCTGGAGATGCCAGAGTTTGAACCTGGCACCCTCTGCATGCAAAGCAGATGTTCTACCACTGAACTATGGTTGGGTGTGAGCAAGACTATCATCAAGCCATCTAGCTCAGCCTTTTTGACTAAGAAAGCATTCTCTATATTAATCCATCTAGCTGAGGTACTGTCTATTGCAGCCGGTTACAGATCACTCAGGTCTGCAAGATTCTAAGATCTGCCCCCCAAAATGTTACAAAAAATATTGGGGGCAATTTATGAAACGGTCAGCCTATCACAGACATATTGGAGATTAGAGATACGCAGCAGAATGCTGGGAACCAGATATAGCATATTGAATAGGGCTGCTGTGAATATTTATGCTTGATTTTGTATTTAAGCTGCTATATAAGTATTTACAAGACGGGAGTTTCTAATCAGAATAAATAAATAAATTGCAAGAAAAGCATATTTTAAAAATTGATGTCAGTCTCTGGAGCCCTAGCAAGAGTGGAAGGAGGAGAACAATTTCAAAAGGACTTAAAGGAAAAATGCTTACTCATTTGTACAAATAAGAGTAAGTAGATACACATCCTTCCTTGAAAGCAGAAAAGCAAACTGTGCGGAACTCCGTTTATCTCTTTCAAAAGAAGAAAAGGTTGAGTTAGCATAGAAACCTGCTGAAATCCATAATGTGGAGTTCCAAGGAGTACAGGAATTTCAAACATCATTTTTAATCCACTTGGACTAGACGCACTTCGGTGTGCTGTGCTTTAATGTGAATAAATGTACAGCTTTTGTCCTCAGCAGGGGAGACTCTGATCATGAATTATATTACCCAGCCTCTAAAATCTTCATTCCGTATATTATAAAATGTGCTCTCCTATAGGGGTGAGGGTGCGTCAGCAGGGAATTTATGCAAACTGTTGCAGGTACATTAAAATACAGTTGCTTAAGGTGCACTGTAGTGCGTAATCCATTAATCCAATATTTTCACAGTGCATCTGAAATGCAGTTGTTTATTATCAGATGTTCTGCACCAAGTCCTAGAAATGTAATTTGCGAGGAATTAAATGCAGCTCAGGGCCCTGCACGTTTGCCCCGTTTCACTTGAGACTCTTCGAGAAGTGCTAAAATGCGTCGCAATAAAGTAATTATGACTGCAGCCCTAAACCTCATTTACCTGAGAGTGACACAGATTGAAGCTAGTGGAGCATACTTCTGAGTCGACATGCTTAGGATTGTGACCTCACCATGCGCTTTAGATGGCAGCTTATTACAAAATGTGGCAAGCCAGCCCTACTGCCATTCTGAGTAGGGCTGTAGACCACCAGCCCAAAGTCCTACCCTGCTGAGTTGGTAAGGTCACTGGAAATCTGAACTAGGTATGTTTGGGAAACCCATAAGAAAACAGGATTGTTTATCAACTACAGTGATACCTCAGGTTAAGTACTTAATTCGTTCCGGAGGTCCGTTCTTAACCTGAAACTGCCGGAGCCCGATTCTGTTCTTAACCGCCGGAGCCCGATTTCTGTTCTTATCCTGAAGCAAAGTTCTTAACCTGAAGCACTATTTCTGGGTTAGCAGAGTGTGTAACCTGAAACGTATGTAACCTGAAGCGTATGTAACCCGAGGTACCACTGTATATTTTGACTCCCCCCCCCATATTCCTCTGATGTCTTACCTGCAAAGGATCTCCCAACTTTGCCTGAAATGCAAATGCCCTACCATGTCCCATTCTCCATACTGTTCAGCCCAAGAGTCTGCTTAGCAACCTCAGCTTTTGTAGTTGGAGTCAGTCAGGCCCTGCCCTCCCAGGTCAGGTGGAAAAAGGCCTGCAACTGGGATTCCACAACTCAGAGCTAAGATGGTCTTATGTCCATTGGCCATGCTGGCTGAGGCTGAGATGACGCCCAACAAAATCTGGGGGGCAAAACATTAGCTACCCCTGACTCATGAGACCCTTTGCAAAGCTGCCTGTTTTTCAAAAGTTCCAATTTGAACCACAGATCTACACCCAAACCCTAATATTAGCTGGCTGCTGAATTAATCACCCTGTATTTCATTTAGCCATACGTCTGGATTTCACAAAGGTGTCCTTTGAGGGTGGTTTCAAGGAAAAGGTAAAAACATGATATATTGGCCTCTAACCTCAGCGGAGTTCCGTTCAATTAACGTCTGCCAGTTCTCCAAGAAGGAGCCGGCCAAATATTTTATTTCCCGGCAAGCCTGGTCATACATAAAATAACTGAATCAATGCCTGACTTTTCCATCTAGAATCAAAGCTATAACAAACTCTAAACAAGCATCTTTCATTCCAAATAGAGTAGTTGCAACCATCTATTATAGTGTGGCACAACATCACATACTGAAAGGTGAAAGAATCCTCTGTGGCGGACGTCAAAGAGTCAAAGGCTGTACCCAGATATTGAACAGCAAAGCATCTTCAGCCCATAATAATATTTTGGTTTATGCAATTAGGCAGCCCAGATCTACAGAGCCAGGTTAGGTGGTGCAAGCAATGCCTATGCAGGAGCTTAGTGGGTCTGGGTCTGGTTGCCGCTACAAGGTCACTTTTCATAGCACTGTGATAGCAGAGAAATATTTGCCAGCCCAGCAGTGGACAATCAGAGATGAAAGATGGGATACAAGGGTAGCAATTATCATTCTGTGCTTGCAATGATGCAAACTGCAAACCACAACAACATGAAAAGTTTTCTTTAAAAATAAACACACAAGTTTCTATCCCTTAAGACTGCTTGGAAAGTCTGTGGACGATTAATGCCTAGAGCAATCTCAGAGCCTGGAGAGGGCAAGGTCAAACAGGACTGTGTTATCACAGTGTGAATTCTTGGCCACATCCACACCATACATACAAAGCATACTTAAATGACTTTAACAGTCATGGCTTCCCTCAATGAATCACGGGAACTGTAATTTGCTAAGGGTGCTGACCTCACATACTTACAATTCGAAGAACCCTTAGCGAACTGCCATTCCTAGGATTTTCCATGTCTGTTAAAATGCTATAAGAGGTGTGGTGTGGATGTGATCAAACCGTTCAGTGAGACAAGCAAAGTAAATACGTTCATGATGTGTTGGTCAGAGAACTGAGTTTTTCTTGTTTTCAGTTTGAGGGCACAAGGTGTTGCAACCTTGCAAATTGGGGGCAGATCACACCACAAAATCACACAAGATCACAGCCGCCAAAATGGCTGCCATTCTCTCGCAATAAAAAAGGGATGTCCCGGTTTTTCCAGGACACTTACCAGGTATGCATTTTCGCAACAATCCTGTTGGCACTCACCACTTAAATCCGCTATTAGGAGAGATTATCATCATCCCTTCTGACCAAACTGTGGGAGGCAGTGGAAGACAGGAGTGCCTGGCGTGCTCTGGTCCATGGGGTCATGAAGAGTCGGACATGACTAAACGACTAAACAACAACAAATCATCCCTGTGGTTCAGCACATGCAGCCCCTCTTTCCTATGCCATTTTCCCCAGAGGCCTCTACCAAGAGCACCTGTATGGATGCCCAGCATAGAACTGGAATCCTGATGACAGCTTGACATCTGTCCTTATTTTTGACTGACTTATTGAATTCAGATCAGCCAGTCCCAATTGTCCCAGGGGCATTTGCCAGTAGCTCAGAGTGATTCCCTCCCCCACTGCCACCCCCACAATCGACCCTTAGAGAAGAAGTTTTTACTGTTAACTTCAGTTTCTTCTGAAGATGCATTCAAGTAATTAACCCCTTAATCTACACGTGCCCCTTCTCCTCCATGTGACACTTACAGATATTTTCACATCTCTAATAGCTGTGACTTCGGCATTAAGTCTGTTAATGAACCTCCTCATTTCATTTGCGCTTCCGCTATAATGCTACCCTCTAATTTGGTGACCTAAGTGCAGATATTAGGAAAAGTAAGAAACAAGCACTGAGAAACTCATTAAAATAACTCAGTACTGCAAAAGATTAGTGGTCGTGGATAGAATTAACAAATGACAACCAAGAATTGCTAAGAGGCCAAGAAGAAGAACAACAACCAATGCATCTTTTTGTTTAATTTTCTAGTCAGCGCAATAAACTCAGTGCAACTGTTTTACTGTATAATCCTTAATGCACCTTGTTTACTTGCAATATTTATTGTGCAATCTTATATTCAGGTACAATATTCTTGAGAAGTAAAGAAGGGGAGCTGGAACCTCTGGTCCTTCAGGTGTTGGGAGGCCAGCATGACCAATGGTCAGGATTCATAGCAGTAGTAGTTCAACAACATCTGGAGGACCAGAGGTTCTCCATCTCTAGTTTATTTTGGACTGCTATCTGCATCACTTTCAGACCAAGTGAATCACACAGATTTCCTACACTGGTATAGTGTCTGGATTCCATCTGCCTTGGAGTCCAGTCCAGAAAGGGAAAAAAGCAAGCCTAAGGGTGCAGTCTGAAAAACATTCGCCAGGAAATGAACCTCATTCAGTGCAATGGGACTTGCTTCCATCCTGTGTATGAAGACCAAACTCATCCTATATATTGCTCAAACTGTGACTGTCTCTTTTTCTGCTTTTTTAGATGTGGCAGCCATTTTGGGCTTATGCCACATCCTCATGGCAGCCATTTTGTGACTGGTGCCCACAGCACCCTCTCAACATTCCAAATGGGCCCACTGGCCCCGAAAGGTTGGCCACTCCTGTTCTAAGCAATGCTTGCTCTTCACATATTTTTATTCAGCTGTTGCCCTTACTAAACACCAGAAGACTTAACTCAACCAGGGCTACGAAATATTTCCTCAGCCAAGTTCTTCTGCAATTGATTTTACTTGCACCTCAAGTTTCAATAGCTCTATTATTCAAAGTGAGATATGGGACAGGAAGAGAGCAAGAGCAAATAATGCCATTTTCTTTCCCTTCCTTATAGATCCACTCTAGATTCTCCCAGCAGCAGCCAAATAAAGCCATTAAGACTGAGCACCTGCATTTTACCAAATGGGAAGAGACAGTTTCTTTCAGAGAGGGACTTCATTTGCATTCAGTTTGCTCTCCCATATTCCAGGGGAACATTTAACTTTTTTGTTACTCTTTTTGTAGGACAGTAAATTCTACTCTTG